ATGTCAAAATCTGTGGTTACTTGAACGCACAGATGACCGGTACATTAAGTTTACATGGTTGCGTTGCGGATAAGATCACCCGTATGGAAGGACGAGGAAACTAGAAAGAAAATACAGTGGACTACAGCAACTGGTCAAGGACAAAGAAGATAAAATATTAACCGAGATTCACGCACACAGGAATGGGTGAAAAGAACACTTTGAGGAACTCTTAAATAGGTCATCAACTGAACATTGACACAGCATATACAGACCAACATATATATGTCACTCCATCAACGATCGAATAAATCAGGATAAAGCAGCAGGATCCAACAATATACCAGAGGAGGCAGTGATGTCTGATTAGAATTGAAGGTGTTCAAAGAAAGTTCACCAAAGCTGTTCTGAGGTATTCCGATAACAAAGACTATTACCAAAGATGTCAACAACTCAACTTAGAACCTCTTTGGATCAGACGTATCAAATTAAATCTTGTCTTTATCTACCGGCTCATTAACGGTATTTCCTACTCATCGGTATCCACCCCTTCATACCTTATAATATCATCCCACAATCTACGCAATAAGGAGAACATTCTAGCGATTCCAAGAACCCACACAAACTTACGTCAGAATTTTTTCCTTATTCGCTACTCAACCATGTGGAACAGACTGCCAGTGAACCTCCGTTGCAGTGAAACTACAACCCGGTTCAAAAGCCTCCTTGACGATTTTCTTTCCGAAAGTGGATTATGTCACCTATTGAATATCAATGTATTCAATAATGATTTATACAAACAAGGTCCATCATCTATTTAATTGCTTGAAAAGCAAAATAAAACCTTTAAATCTTTTCATGTCTATTTTATTTTATTTCTCTTTATCTTAATATATGAAGTTTGCTTATGTTCGTGTTTATCATTATTACCGTTATTAATATCATTATTAATTCCCCAACACATTAGATATTCTCTTTATCTCTTCTTATCCTTCTAAACATATTTAACTCCAGATTGTCCTTTGAAATCATTTTGACTTTCATATCATCAATCTTAATTATTATTGCACAAATATTTATACTAATATCCGGTTTCATTCTGTATACTATTACATAAATCTAAATGTTTTCTATCGAGTGCTTTAAAGGATTTTTATTTTTTTTTTAATTTTTTTTTCAATTGCTGGTTTCCTTCTGAGGTTAATATTCATTACACAATTATTATTCTTATCATGGATGAACCTTTTCACTAGGTGTTCACTTCTTTTCTCTCTCTTCTTCCCTTCTAAATAAATCTTATTCTTGAGATTAAGAAGTGTGTAATTAAGACAATAACTTGTGTTACACTTTAAATTAACTTCTCAGATTCGTTTTATCTTCACTATGCATATATGACTCATACAGAGTGATATTTTATTATCCTTTTCACTTAATTGTGACTTTCATAGCATCACACTAAACTATAACTGCACAAACATTTATTCTAGCGTCATATCTTACTACAATGATAAATTATTTTTTGTTACTAATTTAACGATACACACATGGTCGTTTTTTCTTCTTCTCTGTTCATAAACACGCCTATTAGACTGTTTGCTTATTTCACGTCTCCTTTATTTCTATTCCCTTATTTTCTCCATTTCCTTCTTTAAACTCAATTCAATATTCTTCTCAATTACACATACCCGATTTATTATTTTTAATATTCTACTATTATTATTCTAAATTTTTTCTTTAAATATTTTATTTTATTTTTTAAATATGGCAAGTATAATGCTAACATTATTGAAAATTGTGTATTATTGCATTTTCTGAAGAAACCCGAAATGGTTTCTTCACAACACTTATGTACCCATAAGATGTTTGTGAATAATAATAATAATAATAATAATAATAATAATAATAATAATAATAATAACAATATACCAGAGGAGGCAGTGATGTCAGACACAGAGGAAGAGTTTATGGTGGGTGAATTCACGTCCTTCGATATAATGTTGAAAATGTCGTACAGCACAATACATAGCTAGGAGTTCCCTACCGAAAGTGCTGTACCTCGATTCCATGTCTAGCAACCGTCTAGAGAAAAATGCCAATGGTTGCCAGGAGTGGTTAACCCATTCTTGTAGGGCTCCTCCGATTGTTGAGTCGGATGCGTCCACTGAGATACTAATGAGTGCTTCAGTGTCCTGATGTACAAGTATTGTTGCTTTAGCGATAAGTTCCTTAACTGTGGAGAATGCTTTTCACGTGGTGTCGTCCAGGTTGCTGGATTTCGCATTTCCACGACGTTGGTCCATTAGCGATTTCATAAGTGCCGCGCATTTCGGTACGAACCGTCTATAAAAACTTACCAGGCTTTTAAATGGTGGTCGGTTCTGAGTAATCCAGAATGGCCACCACTTTGGTTCTATGGGGTCGAACGCCTTGCGCATCTATAGTGTCCTAGGAAGTCTAAAGAGTCTATTCCGATTTGGCATTTCTGAATGTTTACGGTAGTGCCATGTTTTCGTAGTCGTTCGAAAACAAGATCCAGATGCTGGAGATGAGATCCTCTGTCCGGACTTGCTATTAGACAGTCATCACCATACGTATGTACGAAGTTGAGACCTCGATAAACGTCATCTATGAACCTTTGGAAAGTTTGTGTAGCGTTTCTTAGACCGAAGAGCATTCGCAAAAATTTGTAGAGTCCGAAGGGAGTTATGATAGTACTTTTCAGAATATCGTCAGTAGCCATAAAGATTTGTTTATACGCTTTAACCAAGTCGATTTTCGAAAAGACAGTTGTAACTTTCAAGGTAGCTGTAAAATCGTGAATGCGAGACAATGGGCAACGATGGACAACGGTTTTCACATTCAATCGCCAATAGTCGCCAGTTGGACGTCAATCGTTGTTGTCCTTTTTGGGGACCATGTGAAAAGGAGACGCCCATGAGCTGTTTGACAGTCTTATGATACCTAAGTCTATCATGTGGTCAAATCCGTTTGTCGCTAACCTTAGCTTTTCGGGAGCCAGTCGGTGTACTTTGGAGAATACAGGTGGTCCTTGAGTCGTGATGTGATGTGTGACATTGCTGGTTACGCACGGCAATTCCGATTGCGGTTAGTATATCTCAGAATACTTATCGAGTAGTGGCTGATAGAATGGGTCTATCGTGTGCTTAATTGTGATTGGAGACAACTGCAACCGGAAAAATAAGTTACGCGAACAAATAAGTTAGTGTTTGGTATACTAGCCTCCGTTTGCTCGTACCGATGATTAGATTGCAGTGTTGTAGAAGGTCTATGCCGATGATTAACACAGAAACATCTGTAACAACAAAAATCATGTGAGTGGGTTTGCGTAAACACACGTTAAGGTAAACGTACCTTTCGCCATACGTAGCAATAGGCTTTCCTTTTGCCGATTGTAGGTTTAAATACGATTCGTAAAGCCGGTCGTTAGAATTTGCTGGAAGAACGCTAACTTCTGCGTCAGTATCGACGAAGTAGCAAACTTTCGTTACCACATCTGTGACGCATAACTGACGGCTATGTTTGCAGGCTGCGGTTGCCGTCAACGCGTGCCGGCTTGGAAGTTTCCCGAGTTGTTTTTCGCGTCGGTTGATTTTGAGTTTGAAAAATTGCACGGTATTCTGCAATTTCTGCAGGACCTTCCATACTGGTTATGATACCAGCACCAGTTAGGTTATCTGTCTCTCGTGGTCTAGAGACAGATCGCCTGCGTGAAGTGCTTCGCGGGGTGTGTGACCGTTTACGGTCATTACGAAATCGCAGATAACGTGTCAGTGTTTGACATAGTTCCGTAATGTCATTTGGGGTCGCTTGAGGCTTTTCTTTGACTGAAAAGACCTCGACGTTAGAAGATTTGTTGATTTTTAAGAATCGATCGGTAGATGAAGCCAGCTCGTCTACGGCGTCGTTTTGAAACAAGACCAGCACAGCTTGCATTTGTTGAGGAAGTTTGGATAAGAAAAGTTGTTTGAATAGGTCATCATTGAAAGTCATTTGACCGATAACCTCTCTCGTTCTTTGCAACATGTCTGTCGCAGAAATGTGTTGCAATTCGATGTTATTAAGGAGTTGTTTTAACCCTTGTCGACCAGTTGGACCTCCACGTTTAAGGATAGATCGTTTAATTGTTTCGTAAGGTTCTGAAACATTACTAGTAAACATAACAGATGTTATGTACCTGTTGGATTCGCGCGATAGTGCCTTGACTACTGCGAGAAATTGTGCACGTATGTCATTCACATCGTACTCGTAGAAATCGGCTTCTGCGTATCAGAACCTGACTTCGATGTTGTCTGACCAGAAGGACATTAGTTGGAACGAAGGTGGGGACATAGTCTTTAACTTAAGTACCTTGGGTGTCTGTTCAGTCATGGTGAAATATCAAGTACGAGAATGAACGAGTGAAAAATATATATATGTCAAAAACACGGATAAAAAATATCACGATGTATAAAATATTAAACGAATGCAATGAAATATAAAATCTCAAAAAGGAACAGACTCATAGTTTGCAATTTAGTGTACCAGATCACGTTGGGCTCACCAATGAAGATGCCACAGGTATTCGGAGTTTGAAAACGTTTTAACCAGTAACACCTAATATGAATCGTACCTACCAAGTGAAACCAAAAGACAGAGGCGAGGAGGTTCGAAGATATATTTGATAGGCTATCAATATATCGAGGATCGACTAACCTAGACTGGCTAGCGACTGTAGGGGTTGTTGAGCACGGCATTCTCACTCGTGATCTGATGCGGATACATGACCAAGAGCCTTCAGCTAGGTGAGTCCATCAAAACTAATATGGTCAGCATCCAATGTCGAAGACTTACAGAGATATTTATTTTGGGGATCTATTTACCGCTACATTATGATTTATCAATACCTCTTTCCTCTTTTGACGTTAATATTCCTAGGTTCCCACCCGGCGGCATCCGTGAACCTTTGCTACTAAATACGGAGGCCCGTTAAGCAAAAGCTTCTGCTTCATCCAGAACTATTTAGACTATTCGAATTGAGTTGTGACGCGCGCGCTTTATAACCGAGAAGTCTATAGTTATTTGCATTTCCCAAAGGTTTGCTGTCCTTACGCAACAGAAGTACAAAGTTTGATCCAAAGAATCTGTCCTGAGCTCAATGTTCGGTAGGTTACTTTTCTTTCTGAGTTTTACCCAAGTTAATAGTTGACTGTGGCTGCTTTGGTTTTGCACATCGAGGCTCGTCTTAGTGTATCCTGACCTTTTGTACCACCCGTTTTTGTCCGTTTTGAGCATACTGTTTTTTGCTTTACGGTCGTAGACTTTTGCTAGGATCTATTAAACAATTGGGTGAAACCATAATTTATGGACGACCTTTGGCCGACGTTTGAGTGACTTTGAATGTCTACCTAATTGTAGTTAGAAACCAGTGTGAAGACTTAGAATTATGATTTACAGTTGATAGTCAAAGTTCGAAGCTAGACGTAGGTTTTTCATCACGAACTGACATCGACTACAATGCCAAAACGCTATTTAGCCAAATGGATGAATGAATTTCGTGCAAAAATCTGAGGCTTGTCATCTCATCCGTGATTGGTTCGTCCACAAATTATAGTCTCTTCGGACATGCTGAAGATCATCACCATCGTAAAATCGACGGTACTAGACTCCCTCGGCAAACTTGGGTCTCCCAGCATAGGGCCCCTGAATTCGACGACTCCCTAAAACTCTGCAAGTGATTAGAATCCCGTTAACTTGGTTAGTAAGTACCGAGTGTCACCGTCCATTAGGTAGAACATCGCAGGTATTGTGTTGGAGTCAACTGATGATGCGGCCGTGCAGTCTACCCCTAAGACTGTCCAACCAGTCAAGAATGAGCATATGAATATGAAACGTGCTTTAACTAACAAGCTTATTCGAAAACCTGGTTAACGATCACAGCTCGCGATGATTATCTTATAATCATGAATCCTAAAGACAGCTCTGACCTTTCCTTTAGTCTGAAAGACGAAAATGACAAGATGCTTTGGGTAGAGTTAAATAGGAAGCCCGAACGTCCCAAAATATAGCCCCTGACACTCACATGGCTCACTTTGGGAAAGAACTCCAAGCATTATAAATCACCCAAGACTATTTTGTGTAACGCTCTCTAACGCTGCCGACGTAGAGGATGTCTTACTGGCTAGTCACTTACTGAAATCAAATGGGAATGTAAGAATACTGCCTGATATACCGTATTCTGAGCGCAATTTCATCAGGAACATTCCTAAGGAATATTGCGAGACGTTTTTTCGCGAAAGAGATATTGTAGAAGGAGTGTCAGGCAACAGAAACTCTGCTCTTCGGGAACGGAGATTAATCAAGCAGCCCTTGAAGCTCAAAAACATATTGACTCAACAAGTCGTAAGACTAGAGAAGAGGGACGAGGGTTCTAGACCCTTGGTAATGAAGATAGCCTTCCCATTCTCTCATATGGCGGCTGCAACTCTTGAAGCATTTCGTGCTCATTCGCCGGTTGCCAACTGGAATCCATGTGCTTGAAGTCACTAACTTCTAGTCTGAGCCATGTTGGTAGATGCAGACTACTTGGTTGGGGTCCGCGTGACTATCGTAACCAATGGTTGGAGACTCTTGGTGACATGGCTCAGAATCGATCACAATGGCGTCGGTGTATACACTCCCTGTCTTCCCTTAAAGTATGAGATTAAAATCGCTTCATATCTTTCTTTCTACGAACCAATTCTTTCTTCTTGTACTATATCTCTATATGCAATCTTTCTCTTATATATTACCACCTTTTACCTAACCACTGTTATGATTCCGGTGTTCATCTTGTTGTGTTGATGCGGTATGGCAACCTGGACCGATGCACATATGTGCCTGGTCCTACGTTGTAGCTGACTGACTGACTGACTGATGCATCCAGACAAGTCACAAGATGCCAGGATCAAACACAAGCAAATTGGAGCTGACTATTCCACTTGTGGACTGTCAAGACGACGAAAAAAACGTAGAAAGGACAGGGGCTGCCAACTAGGAAAGCCCTGTATAGGTAGGTTACCTGTCCATTCATATAAGGCTCATGCAGGTAAACAGGGCGAGAAAGCTCACGCGTTTCAAATTGAGAGCATAAACTGCTTATATATGAACATTGCGGGTTTACTGAGTAGAATGAATGAGCTGCGTGAACTCAGTAATGCCAATGATACTCATCTGATAGGAATATCTGAAACATGGATATCTCCCCAATTTGCGGGCCAGGAGCTAGTAATACACAGGACGTATTTGTTTCCCATTGACAAAAAAACAGAAATTGGGGATGGAGTAGCCTTGTACCTGCAGTCTTGCCTGGAGGTACATCAAGTGCACAACTAAGAGTTTATCAATCTTGATGAATCTTCATGGTGCTCAGTAAAATTGTTTACCACCCAGTGGAACATACGTACATTGGAGTTGTTAACTCTACTGAAGCTCGGTTTTTCAACCTCATTGAAAACCTGGGATTATTCGAAAATGTGAAGTCGGCAATTCGTTGAAGAAACAGTCAGACACTGTCACACTTAGACTGGGTATTTACAAACGAAGAATTCCTAATTGACAACCTCTCAATCCTGGCTCTTTTGGGGAAAAGCGATCATGCCATCATAGCCTTCAGTTTTATCAGCAAAACTGAACTAAGACATCCTACCGACAACAGGCACTGAAATTTCAAACTGTTGAATGTGTCAGCCTTACAAGACAATTTACAGCAGGTGGACTGTGAAGTTCACCAACTTGCTGTGGATGCTCATGGGGATGTCTTACTGCACACGATCTTATGTGCTACAAAGCAGTCTGTTTCACAAATGGTTACCAAAATCTACAAGCAACCTACAATCATCAAGAAGCGCACTCTTCGTTTTCTAAGCCGCGAAAGGCACTGCTGGGCGGAATACAAACAAACTGGTAACAACAGCGCATACAGGCAATTCAAACAAGTAAGCAATATATTCACAAAGGCAATAAGAGAAGACAGGTTTCAGTACCAGATAAAGCTTGTCGATGAATTTGTCTCCAATTCGAAAAGCTTATTCCGTCATACAGTTGAAACTGGAGTTTCCTAAATGCTAGGTCCTAATAGCCCGACCAGCAAAGACGGCGACGCCACTGACTTTCTGGCAGGTCAGTACCCTCAAACATTTCGACCGATCCACGCTAGCTATATTGATGAAAGCCTCACCAGCAACTCCATAGGACATTCAGAAGTAGACCTGAGCTCTGAATTGGTGTACCGAAATATGCAGCACCCAAATAGACACATTTTGGACCGAATATAGTCTGTTCTGTTATACTAAGGGGAGCGGCTTCAATCTTGGCAACACCACTTAGCGTGATGTTCTCACATTCGATAAGTCAAAGCACACTACCGGTGAATTGGAAGCTGGCTCACATCGCACCAATTTTCAAGGGAGGTCGACGCAGCGAACCTTCAAGCTAACGACCGGTGGCGCTACTCTCTATACCCTCAAAAATTATGCAGTCCCTGATATGCGATGGTATACATAATTACTTACTATCCATGAACTTCCATTCTAACAGCGTGATTTCAGAAAAGGTCACTCTTGTTTAATCAACCTGTCGACTGAGGTGGACAGATAGACAACCATCTTTGATCGCGAGGAGAAGGTTGACGTCATTTACATTGACTCATCGAAAGCTTTTGATAGGGTCGAAGACAAATGTCTTATCAATAAGCTCAACCATTTAGGTATCAAATCACCTTTAACAGATCGGCTCACTTCATATCTAAAGAATCTACATTTTAAGGTTAGGGTTAACTTCAATTTCTCTCAGGCCATGGAATGTCCTGGTGGGATCCCCAGGGTTCAGTAATAGGCCCTCCTCTTTTCTTGACTTATACAAACGATCTTCCACAGCAGGTATCGTCAGATTTACCACTTTTCGCTAATTATGTAAAACTCTGGAGGAAAGTATGTAACCAAGAGGATAAACTGGAACTTCAAAAGGATCTGACTGGACTTCGGGGTTTGCAGATGATAACGGACTTATCGATAACACTTCAAAGTGTAAAGTAGTCCACCTGATACATGTTGCAGACTACAGCTACAACTTAGGTGACTGCCCTCTAAAGGTATCCCAAGTTGGAAAAGATTAGGAGTGCCGGTACCCTACCATTTAAAGTCTTACGCTAACTTTGACAAAAATACCTTTCGAGTAGACCTTGCACAAGTAACGTTTAAGCGTATTTTCGGCCAGTTCGACGCAAGAACTTTCCACATAGTCCTCAACGGTTTCATTCGTCCCCATTTAGAGTACGGAAACGTAGTATTTCCTCCCTTACTCCAAAAGGATGAAGATACTCTAGAGCATATCCACGAAATCAGTTCGGGGGCTCAAATTATGGTCTTATGAAGAGCGCCTCCAATCAATAAGCCTTTACCCGCTAGAGTATAGGTGTCTTAGAGGTGACCTAATGGTTCATAGGATCCTTAACATCTCTAGGCATCCCCTTAAATATCTGCTTAAGTTTAACTCCAACACAAACCTAAGGGATAATACTCAGAAACCGTAGACACAACTCAGCGGAAGGGACTGTAGACACAACTTCTGCTCATTAAGAGTAGTCAGATGCTAGAATTCGCTGCCGGCTGAGCTAGTCCAAGTGACTTACCAGGAGTCCTTTAAGAGGAAACTTGACATGTTCTTAAGGACTAAGGATAGTATCTTACTGTGATTTACCGATTTCTCTTTCCTCTTTTGTCGTTAATATTCCTAGGTTCCTATCGGGCGGCATCAGTGATCCTTCGCTACTAGATATGGAGGCCCGTTAAACAAAACCTTTTATTCCATCCAAAACCATTGGAACGGTATGAAGACGCGTAGTGCGGAAATGGAAGCCCCAAATATTGCTGCGATTGTTAAAGCTCGACATCATGCGCGTGTACTTTGCCCTTCGAGTGGAAATTTATTAGGAAACACACCAAACCAGTTAATTTCTCCTGGAATATATGAATCTTCTGAGAGCGGTTGTAATGTAAACAATTTTTATAGTGCATCTGGAACAAGTGGTCAGACACTATGCGATGATGCAAAGATCTCAGTAGACGATAAACCACACAAAACTCGTTCTGGTTAGTTTTTCGGTGGTTTGCTAACACTTGTTGCATTTAGAAAATGCTCCGAGATTGTTACGCGGAACTTGGTCACCTGATGATAGACGTCTATTTTTTCAAGCTGTGAGAATGGTACGTTAATTGTTTTACAGTTTATTTTCTCGTTTTTCCTGTTTGCTATTTTCTTTATCATGGTTAATATTTTCGTAATTAATTACTCTTCATGTTTACCTTGAATATTGTGTGATAATATTTCCTATTCGTCCTTTAACATATAGTACGGGCGTAACTTCACTGAAATCACACGTTTCATTCGGTCTCGTGGACATCGTACATCAATCGATCACCAAACTGGGTCATCAAGTGGCAATATTGAACTAACTTTGAATAGTTTGCACTCTGGAAATAATTTTGTCTCTTCAAACAGTTTATCATCTGCCCTCATCCCATCTAATATAAGCGCTCCGTGCCCAAACAACATTACTCAACCTAATGTTGGAATGAGCACACCCTATACCGGTAGTTCTGATTTAAATACACCTTGTGGTGGTCGGACTCGTGAACAAGTTCGTTTCTTTTATCAACAAACCTGGCATAAAGTACGTCGTTACACTAAATTTCCCGAAGAGGTCCCACAACATGTTAGGGAAGTTTATGCAATTGTCAATTATTCTGTGCTGCGTACACGCATTAAGAAACGTAAGTAATAAGTTTGTAGCAATAATATGCTTTCGTCTCTTTTTATCTCTGCTTACAGTAATGAATAACTTTGGTTTGGATTTCATCATGCTTATGTTTTTTCGTTTTCGGTTTTGTTGCTGTAATAAGTAAGGAATATAGCTCCCTACTGTGTTTAAGAGTGCATAACAATAATACATCGATCCGAAAATTGGATAAATCTTAGGGTCATGTCAATAACTTTGAATACATCATTGAATCACAATGTTACGAAACCAATATAAAGGCTAATTCCGACCTTATTATATATTAGTTAGTCATTTCAAGTTGTTACACTAGTTTGCCGATCGACAAAACGAGTGACATATTATTATATTTAAAAGAAGGAATATGAAACTCCATAAAGTAAAAACCATGTTTAATATTTAGGGTAAAATAAAAACTGAATGGATTTGTACCGTTGTCAGTGGTTAGGACCATATCACTTAACGTCTCCAGCCACAATTTATACTATTCGTTTGATCCCAATTATTAAGTTGGCGATTCTCATTGTCATTGTTACTTCATTACTGTGATCCTTTTTTAGTTTATCTTGTTACTTTCATCTCGTATTCCTAATGTGTTATAGTTACTCGGGCCAACACACAACTATGACAGCCTCTACGTTAATGACTGACTGATAAATTCAGTAATTCTACATAAAACTTAGGTTTAGTGCTTTAGGTGGATTGTTTTTCTTAACAGCCTTAATACTTTTTGTCCTTAACTCCATCTAACAAACAAATTTTAGATAGTTTGCAACTTCATGTGATCATAATTGCTTTAATTAATTTGGTTCTTGGATGTGTGAATTCAGATTTCAGTTACCCTCTCATCATTTTCCTTCGTTCTAACGTCTCCATTTGCATATCTCTCTGTTTACGTTTACTAAGTTATTACACTTTCTCTAAAGAGAAGAGCCACGTTTACTCACAGATTTCTCACTCAAGAATTGGGCTTCTGACTCAGAATAATAAGCTAAGAGAAAATGAATTTATCAGTCATTCACCATCAGCGGAATTCGCCACTTCTAATGTGTTCGTTATTAGTTATCAAGGTGTGTCATAAGTCCATACATTTATTAATTAGGTTACCCACTATATTAATGGATTATATACAGTGAATCTAATAAACAATTTGATTTTTACAAAATTACAGAATTTTATCTTTGGTCTTTTCAATGAAAGGGGAAATTATCATTTAGATTCGTCGAACTCCTGGCAGACTGAAAAATAGGTTAAAGTGGAATAAGAAAAGACGAAAAAGAGAAGCTCAACAACAAAAATTAGTCCTACTTATCTAAGAGTTACTCATAATATTCCAGATGAAACTTTAGATAACCATGGATTAACTTTTAATTTACATAGAAAGACACTCAATGTTATAGAAGTCGCTCCAACTACAAAACCATTCTCGAAAAACTACATGGAAGGCGGCTCATATAGGATATCTAAAAAACCTTACATTTTCACAAAAATGCCTTCCTTAAGATCGTTCGAAAGAGGAATTAAGAACCCTACGTTCTTTACGAAAAGATATTTTCATCCATTTGTTTAAAGGTAAATGTTAGTGCGAAGGGGTGTTATGTCTGGTCATCGGTAACTGTTATGTCGGAATCGCTTATTACTCATACTTGTAAAGCGACAAACCCTGCATTTTTCACAACGCGAAGTAAGAATATCAAGACTGGATATTTATTAACCACAAAACACAACTAATGTAGTCTAAAATACACTCATTTATATATTGATTGTACACCGTTTTGATCATTCATTAAGATGAAATCACATTTATGAAAAATACCCAGTTATAACAAACCACATGCTACGTGTCTTGCTGAACATATTTCATATTAATTCAACACAAGAATATCATTTAATTGTTGAATTCATAAGTCCATTAAAGCTTGACTACCATAGAAAACCTGGAAGCAGTGAACGACCGTTTCTTCCTAGTATGGGATTCCTCAACAGTGCGCACCCACGATCCCGCACGCGGGAGTTGATCCCAGGACATTCTGTCTGACGTGCGAATGCTTAACCCCTAGACCACTGGGCGGACATCCAACGGTGCTAATCTCTAACTTCAACAAATACACGAATATCATATTCTGAATAAACGGCACACTGAAATAAATTAATATTTTACCGAATGAAGTATCACACTGGAAAACAAAACAAATACTACGCTGAGTAATCATTACACTGAATTGGACAGAAATCAGAATGAGTAAATGATTGTAATTTTGTTTTTAATCCCGTCATATCAAGAGGCATCAAAATAAATATATGCCACGTAATTTTAAAGATACAGGAGAAGGGAAGTGAATGGGATAGAAAAAGTTAACGAAAATATGTGAATGAGATTAAAAAAAAACAAAAAAAAGCAGTAGTTCTGTTGAAAAATAGGGCTAAGAAGAATTTCTCAATTTAGTGAAGTTTATGTATAAGAAAAGTACAGTGATACCACCACTGGATTCTATTTTGAACCATGTCTGATAGCGTCTCAAGCCACTGTGTTGCACTATTTTTAGGAACTCAACCAAAAACTAATGAAAGATCGACAGAAGCCAGCTTTGCTCATAATTCTTTCATACCTCGACACCATGTCAAATACTAATCACCTCTCTAGATATTATTATTATCGGCAAATAATTCATGGTGTGCAATCCTCTTGGGTAACATTCGTATCATATATCCAAGCCACCAGTCAGTACTTCAAAAATGTGACGCCAACGGAGTTATCTTCACTGCCCAAACACAAGTTACCGAGCCTCCATATTGATAAGATGGTGTAGACTCTGAATCTCAGCAGTCCTCGGGCGACAACGATGATGGAACGCAAAGAGTAGCCTAACATCTCAACTCAGGAAGGCCAGGTTTTACAATTATGGAGCAAAACACCTCTCACTGACGTGTCATAAACTAGAACTTTTACAGCCAGAATAATAGCACAACAATACCAAAGACAATCCACTCTAGCTACTACTATGCATACATTTGTTTTATTGGTCACGCCACTATCAGCACTTATAAAACTTCCTAAATACACAAACTTTCCGACTACTTCTAGCTACTTACTATTAAGAGTGCGTTCAGGCGCAGGCTCCTTCCATTGTAAAAGTGCATTGGATTTAGGAGATGAAAAGTACGTGCCAACTTGTTGAGTACAAATCGGATAACTTCTGTACCATCGTACAATAGGACTATCACTCCCATACTCAAGGTCGACATGTCTTTCTTCAGGTTACGGGTTCAGATCGGGAATAGTGAGACTGGGTGACCCTTTACAACCCATTTATTTTTATTTTATTCGAACACATAAATATTAGTACAAGAGGGCACCAAATATATATATGCGCCACACTGAATAAATGACGTAAAAAATAATAACAATAATACTACTAGTAATAATGTGAATTGTTTGATTGTTAATCAAAGCAATATAAATATTTTCCATAAATATCGACATTTAACCATATGTGTGTGTGGTCTGTGATACTGCCAGGATGCCCAGACCGAAGCAGGTGGCTTTATTAGGGGGCCACACCCCGAGCCTCTGACCTAAGGGTCTGACCCACAAGGCAGTGGAGCATCGTAAGGAGATGCAGTCCCATGGTAGCCGTCGACCAACGATTGGTTCATACGCCATTCCTTCCTTCAGGATACTGGAACCCATGTGCACTATTAGTTTGGGATCCGGTTAAAGCGCCGGACATTTGCTTTTCGTTCTCTCATTTTTGTAAACAACACCCCCGCCACGAGAAGGCAGTGAGTAGGACTTCCCTGGCAGAGGCTATGTACGCGTGACCGTGTGAGAGCATTTCGAGAAGGAGGGCGGGCCCACCACACTCTCAGCCATACTAGGGCATTTGCTTAAAGGGAACAATGGAGAGAGGGGTCTGCATGCCCTCATTCTGTATGGGGTGTTTTTCTAGAGACTCCAACTTGTTAATAAGTTTCCCAGGCACAGTCTTGTTCAATAGACGGTCCCTGAGCACAATAGTGTTCAATTGATCAAAGAAACTAGTGATTTGTGGTTCTTTGGGAGTCGGAGCTTCCTACAGACTTTCACCTCGTTGGATAGATCAGTCATCAAGTTTCTCAGTCCTCTTTAGGCAAGAACCTACATTGACCACTAAACTTGCAGCTGCCCAGAGCAAACCAACGTAACTTTGTAAAAACCTATCACTTATAATTGGGACGTTTCGTAAACCTCAAGCGAATTTACTTTCCATTCCCATGATATGATAGTGCACCCAGTTGTGATCTATACTTTTCGACATTTTGACAGTTAGTCATTAACCCAGGTTGGTGTGATATTTGGCTGCAACGGAAGTTGCAGTCAATTTGTTGATATCAATGAGTTTGGGACGACAAATTTGTTGGACACTAAAACAGGACAAGATTGACATAGACAAGAGGGCTTGGTCAGAATCTAGACAGGAATTTTAAGAGTAGTGATAGTGCTGTATACAACCATAACGGTAGCTAGTCGTTATGTGATCAATCTAAGTCCAAGCTTGAGTTACAGAGGGTAGACATCAGTTAGTACTTCGGCGATGATTATGCCTTAGTTGGGATCAGCCATAAACAAGTTATAATCTACACAAGGCTGCAGTTTACTTAGCTATATTAGTTAATAAAGCTGATAAATACAATATAACAGTATAGTCATCAACAAATAGGTTGACACATTTGTCATCATTAGAAATACCTTCTTTTAAAAATTCTCTAAACCGATAATTACTTCTCCAGATCACGTTGAATTTACTTTCTAAAGGGAAAATAAACCTAGCAAACTATCGTTTTTGAACTGTCTGGTTGAAAGGGATTCTAATATGAGTGCAGATTTACCCGTCTTTTAAAAACCAACACATTGAAACTGGTACAATGACTTCAACTATATTCATCCATTTAGTGCAAATTTTTCTGAATCTGAATTTAGAAGAGCTACCAAACGCAGAATAAAGGAATAGAACTGTCTCATAATTTAATGATTTTCCTGTGAATATTATATAAACTATACTAAAACGAAAAGATCTGTTATTGAATTATAATAATAGGTTAATCGGATTATTATGATTTGGTACTTTAGTTTCACTATACCATGGTACAACAAAAAATTCGTCAGACCTTTCAATTACACAGAATTGAAGCGTTTTATGAAACAACTAAGACTTTGAATTTATTTATTTCTAATAAAGGAAGAGATCCTTTTTAACGCCTCACCAGAATTATGCCTACAGATTAGGTTGTGTCAGTTGTGATGTCTTGTATACTAGAGTGTTCTCGCGAAATCCTGCCTCGTGCCAATCATGTATAACTGAAAGATCTTCAAATCAAGTCAGCAGTTGAAGTACATACCATTTGCAACAACCATCGAATCGGTATCAAAGTATTAAATGGATTCAAAAGGTTTATTCAACTATGAATAAAGGCAAGTAGCTGAAGCTTTTCATGTAGTTTTAAACTCTCAGAAGATTCGACTATTCATCCAAATTGAACCGTTTATTCAAACAACCACATTTAATTCCATTTACACTATTAACACACAAGTTTAACTATTTTTTCCACATCAAAAATATCACACTCTTCACATCTGCTAGAATACACTCAAATACACGAGTTTATTTCACACAGTATCACCTGAACCGAAATAATTTGATATTACTGTAATCAGATCTGTTTTCGATCATACTTTATATTCCGTTTCATTCCAGCGTACTATTTAAACTTGCTAATTTAATTTGGTTATTTATTCACTTCTCGGCAGAAACGACTTACATTAAGTTGCTTTTCCATTCTCTCCCTCTAACAATACCGCGTTCATTTTCATCCCAGTTTCTAATTTTTTTTCTCTTTCATTTTAGCATTGGACCACCGATTGGGAGAAAAATTAAACGAATTAGTTCATTGTGGGTGTGTGATTTTTGCTCACTGCTTTGTAATAAAAAATAATTTGTTTGTATTATTTTGAACTTACTCAGCTTATTTTTATCCACAGCTGGTGTGACGTAATCTCGCAGTTCCTTACTTCGTCATCTGTTGAATGAGATATCCTGTCTGAATTTAAGAGTAAATAATATATCCTCTTTACAAATATATGAGCTTTATTAGTGTATTTAAATGATTTGTTATCTATCCTTTTCTGTCGTTCTTACCTTCACATTAAAAAAATGTGGTTTAATTTGGTCCAGATGTCTGAGCCAGGTCCACGTGAGGTTCACTTGAGACATTTAAGTACTACTTATTTCCTGAAATTCGTTGAGACTACGTTCGAATTATCCCCAGTAGTAAAACATAAAGGTCATCATATAGATGGTTTCCAGAACAACGCTACATAGCAAGTTGCTGTATCTGTTGACTGAGATAATATGATTAAGGCATCACAAACCTCCCAAACACGATAGACTGTAGCCTCAGTTACAAAGTCAAGCTTTGACAAGAATATCCTCTGTCGCGAAGATGTTATTTGGAATCCAGCTCGGGAATATGATTTTAGTGAAAAACTAGAATGGCATTTGCAATGCTTCTTTCCACTAAATTAGATTCAGTTAGAACCATTTTAGCCGCAAGTTTAGCGGACTTACAACCGTTTTTTTCTTTTGTATAACTATCGAGAAAGATGGTGTCTACGACTCAGCGTGACTCTTTCGAGTGACAACCTGAACACATTCTAGCAGAAGATCAACTTTTGCTCCCTTGAATTCTAAAAGAATAGATCAACCTATTAGGAATTCATAAACTTTGGACATAACACTATCCTAACTGGTGTATTTATATGAGGTTTGCTTAAAAAATATTTAATCCATCTTAAATTTGGACCTCAGTAATACTACAATTTCAAAATGGTTAATGTGCTTTGTTTTAAGGCAAATGTGAAATTATACCTTACTAGAACGTTCTCAGCAGTGCTTATCAATAAACGGATATTGCTGAAGGCCTTGTGTGTGAATTCGTTTGATTGCTTGAACTTGTGGTAAGATGTTACTTGAATCTATACAAATTTTGACTGCTGCTTTTCATTTTTATCATATTTCCTGTGTTATTATTTCTGACTTATTTTTAAATCGAGAAAGATTTCAGTCGATTTATTACAAACATGATATAGTTTTATCATTTTGATGCTCTGAATAAGACGAATAAATTTTCCGTGTATGAGTACTTTGGCTATATTTTTTTTGGTGTGAAATATGGTGTTTGATTCTGTTCACTACTCGATGGTTGAAACTTGATCATTTTTGATAAACTATTCTTTTTAGTTTTTCATAAATAAGTAGACCTTGAATATAAGTCATTACGTTCACCACTTGTAAGGATCTCGGCAACACTTCATTCTACTATTTTTATTACATTATTTTTTTGAATTTGTGACTGGTCGGTTTAGTCTATGTAAGTATGGAATTGTGTACTCTAATATTTATGTTGTTTATCTCAAGAAGTTATTCGTAAGTTTAAACGCGTAGTAAGGAGACAATGAATTTAAATAATAATACTTTTATTTATTGTAAATATTTATATTTCTCCAATAAATAGTATTTTTCGTCTTTTCATATGTTTCTTTGTTTCAGTACCACTGTAATCAAACACAATGGGCGGCGTTTTTTGTTACGTACTCCTGTTTGTCCTGCTTTGAAGCAATTGAATAACATTTTTGGTAAGGTGGTACTTCATAATTATACATACATCAGATTTTTAATTTGATTGACCTGTAATTATTAAAAAGCATTTTTATGGAATCTTTGTTCCTAGCTTTTTTTATTATATTTGAGTGTTTTAGGCAAACTTCGCTTCGTGTTTTATCTGAATGAACAACACGGTAATTCATGATCCTAATTGATTTGACTCAAATTAATATTTGTGTTCTTGATACTTAGTTCTGGATTTACTGCAAATCATAGCATTGGTTTCAGCTAACTGATTACGTCATAACAAAGCCACACTTCATCAAATTGATTGTTAGAAAGTGATATAGTCAGAAGCAATAAATATTTGTCTCTAAAGCAAAGTTGTACGACTGATTATATAGCGATGTGACCATGAACTATTATTTCAGCTATTCTGAGTTCTCTCAGACAAGAGTGATCAGAAAAAAAATTATCCTTAACAATTTCATAGCTCTCCACAAATTTCCTTTTTGAGCCATAAGAATTAAAAAGTAAGGAGCTAACCTAAGGTAATTACTTATATATAACTCATGTGTTACTTGCGTTTTTCCAGTCCATACACAGTGAACAGAATTCAAAGTCAACTCACCAATCTGCTCCGTATCGCTTGAGTGTAGAAAAAATATATGTATTACATGTATTCGATAAAAATTATCTTTTAAATGTTGCTATTTCATGGTAAGAATCCAAGTAAGTGATATTAAGGTGAAGTTCAGATTACTATATCCAGATAGTGGGTTGGTTTACTCTGCTGTGGATGTTCACCGACTGGTATTTTCGGATATGGGTTACACGTGCTCTTCTTGGTTTATCGGTTTTTTAATTCCCCGCCTTTAATAGCTCATGTATTTTTATTTTAAATAACATTGTCATCTATAGAACATTAGGTTTGATATTTAGGTACTTAGTCCTGTAGAGGATTCATTTAACAAATACTTTTAAAATTTTTCAACTAAAATAATCCAGTTCTCATTCAAATCAAATTTTAGCACCTACACATGAATTCCTACTTCCTGAAGATGTATGGATTGAATTAGTTCCACGGACACAAACAGATGCATGGAGAGTAATAGAGGCAGAGCAAAATCCCCGTTTAAGACTACGCGTTGATATTAATCGTCAACTTTCAGATGTTATTTTTCTAGTGGAAAACAAATGGCAATTGGCTGCTGAGCGTATGGTAGATATTATGTAGCAAATTGTAATGGTTGTTCTTTGCCAAGTGCTAATTTATTTTAACCATATACTTTAGATGTATACCTTCACAGACTATAATCAAAGTTCGTACAACTTATGGGATATCCAAATCTTGAGTAAAATATTTGTGATCATGAAATATTCAATCCACAAGATAATAATTGTAAACATGATTTTGTATGATTAATACTCATCTGATTGAACTTTAAGTTTAGTCTGCAATATGAATATTGTTTTAGAACTATTGTAAACTGATTAATTTGGATTACAAAATAATTGTACTTCTACAATTCTGAGATGTTTTAATAAGATGTGTTTTTTGTAAAGGGCAATTCTGGTGCTTCATTTGAGCTACTTATAAGTAGTGAAACGACTTATTGAACAGTTCAACAAAAAAACTTGTGCGTTATCGATAAACGTCAGCGGACCATATAGAAGTATTCTGTACTGATTGACGCTAAGCCGCACCTTTAGAGTATAAATTTCAAAGACATTTTATATATTTCATGATAATTAATGAAAGTTAGTCGCCTGTGTCAACACTCGAACTTAGGGTAGGGAGTGAAGTAGTCGAACGCGTTGACAACTTCACTTACCTTGAAAGTCTGATCAGCCTTAACGGATTGGCGTCTGTCGAAATTTCTGCATGAATTCAGAAAGCTCATTTGGTTTTTTGCCAATTTACGTGACCTATGGTGGAGGCGAAATATCTGTCTATCAATAAAAAGACAAGCATACTGTGCGGTACTTCGTTCTGTTCTACTTTACGGCTATGAAACGTGGCCATTAAGAGTAGAAGATACTCGTAAGCTACTAGTTTTTGACGACGCACGTATTAGAAATATTGCTCGCATCTGCTGGGATCACCGGATAAGTAATGGTAAGATGAGAGGCAGGGTATTAGGGAATGATGGTAAATCAGTTGATGAGGTTGTGGATTTCACCGACTGAGATGTTTGGGTCACATGTTTCTCATGCCTGAACAGCGATTGCTACGACGCGCAATGCTGACTGGTGTTGGGGATGTCTGGGAGAAAGTTAGGGATGGCCAAACCAAAACGTGGCATCAGTCCTTGAAGTCACTAACTTCTGATTTGAGCCATATTGGTAGATGCAGACTACTTCATTGGTGTTCGCGTAACTATCGTATCTAATGGTTGGAGACTCTTCGTGACATGGCTCAGAATCGATCTCAATGGCGTCGGTGTATACACTCTCTGTTTTCCCTTAAATAGTGAGATTCAAATTGCTTTATACATTTAGTTCTGCGAAATAACATATTCTCCCTGTATTATATCCTTACACACAATATTTCGTTTATATATTACTCAGCTCAGCCAGAACGTAGGGCCAGACACATATAAATTGGTCCAAGTTGCCATACCTCATTAGCAGAACAAGATGAACGCTGAATCCATAGAAGTAGTTAATTCAATGTTGGTAATATAATGAAAAAATATTGCATATAAGGATATAGTACAGGAAGAATTAGATGGTAGAAATAATGTGGTGTGGCAACTTGGTCTGATGCATATTTGTGCCTGGTCCTACGTTGTGACTAACTGACTTAGTCGCGAAAGATAATAATTTAGAGCTTCAGTTGAAAATCGTTGATCCTATATTAACTGCCGAGTATCACCTTCAATGTTGTCTAGCTAACAATCTTACCATTTAAAATTCTCATTCGTTTATATATATATATATATATATATATATATATATATATATATATATATATATATAATGTGTGGATTCAAACCACGCCTTAGTGTTTGTAAACGCACCATTTGTGACAACGTACTGCATAAGATAAGGAATTTTAAAACATCGAATTCTTTCTTTGTTGAATGTAAAAGTTCGGTGATTGTATTTATCCCTTTTAGAGAACACTTCTTGGTTTCCCAGCGGTTCACGACTCCACAGTGCCATCGGTTATGCTCAACTTATGCTATAGTCAAGCTATCGATGGTGCCATTCGCATACAAGAAGTGGCGCGAATTCGTTCAGGAGACATTGGATTACGTGCTTATTTAGATCGAATGGATACTAAACTCCATAAATCTAGGATGCAGTCAAATGTATGCCCCACAGGTATATTCTAAAGTAACTAAACGGCGTATCATCTTTTTTCTTTGAATTTTAACTTTTTATTTATCCAAGCCTACTGTGAAATTTCAAAGGTTATTCCACTCAAATATTATCAGATTATAAATGGCTAGTGGAATATATGTAGTTCAAGAAGCCTCTACAATGTTTCGTCTAAAGGAATGTGTTATATCATACAAACTGTTGTTATATATCACTGACATAGACTAGATATGACTTCAACTTGACTTTGCTTTGTAACTTCATAGTTCGCCAGGTGTTTTTAGAAGAAAGATAACGGATACGGAATCTTGTAATATACACTGTCTGGGAAGTTTATTGGAAAAGTAGACTGTACACCATTTCTGAAAAGTAGTTGATTTAACTTGTAGATGACAATCATCCATTTATTTTTTAACTACAAAACGCTGACATAAATTAACCAAATTTGACCCTAAATTTAATAGTATATGACATTTAAAGTGTATAAAGTTTGTAGGATCTAGTTGATTACTTTCAAAGACCTTCCTTGAATATGGCTAACAAATCTACCATGTGGAGTAGTGTATGAGCATGATTAATGGGCCGTATGTATTGCTTTAAACTTTAATCAAAAATTGATTAAAATTTTTATAAACTACGTACGTATTTAGTAAAATGACTATTTCTTATAAAACAATAAAACACCGAAACAATACTGTGTCTCAATTATCAATAGTTTGTTCTTGAAGACATGAATAATTTAGCTGAAATTAAATATTATGAAATCAAATTATCTATTGATTTTCATAATCACTCAACAATTCATTCAATCATTTCATTCTGACAGTTGAACAAGATATTGAAAAAAAGTGAAATATTTTAATTTGCATAAACCAGTCTCACTTTAAAAAAAAATTAACTTATCAAAATTAATTTATTCACAACGTAAATGTGATTAAGTTATGTACTAATTAAATTTACGGTGATAAGATTGATTTTAAAATTAGTTTTTCAACGAAAATCAATTATGATTCGTCAGGTCTAGATTTTGTATTTCAGGGTATACGGTTTTTTAATTTATGTAACAAGTTAAAATATAATGCTTTCATGGAAATTAAATTTTATTGTTCCTAGGCACGTTAAATAATCTCAAGAGAAATTTATGAAACCAGAAAATTGAAATGAATCAGTTATAGTAATATGGTGTACACGGATTATCAAATAACATCAATATAATCTTTATTTAAAGCTGAATCTCTAGCTTCATTTGATTTTTTCCAAGGTCATCATAAATGTTTGTACAGCGGTAGTTATGTAATTGCAAACAAACGCTTGACTGTTGTAATTACGGTAGTTGAGTTTGCTAAATACTCGGTAAACTTACTGTTTTCTGTATAATGCCATATCACTGTCTTCGTCCAACACTTACTAAATGTAAATCAGCTCATGCCACATAGGTTCAAAGATCCTCGCTTCCTTAATTTAGTAGGACCTAGCTGTAGTTTGTAGCAGTAGAATTCAGGAAAACTGAACCTGGTACCTTTATAAAGTTGAGTTTATGTAACATGCCTCTACACGTTTTCAGATTATGAAACACTAGTATGTCTTACTTACGCCTGCTACCCATAGTGGAGCGTAAGCCCCCGACTAGGACTCCAACAAATTCAGTCTTCAGCTTTCCTCTCCAGTTGTTACCAAATGTTATTCATTCCTTCGATGTCTACCTCCAATCCCCGACGCAATGTGTCCCTTGATCTGCCTCTTTTCTTCTGAATTCCTAGTTAAGGCTTGCCTCGTGATCTAGCTTAATGATATTTCCTCAATTTATGTCCTACCCATCTTCAGCGTCTTTTCTAATGTCCTCTTCATTTGGAAGTTGGTTTGTTCTCTGTCAATAATCGGTTGTTGCTGATGGTATCCGTCCAACAAATATTAAGTATCTCGCTTAGACAATTGTTTGTAAATACCTGTACTTTTTTGATTATGGTTGTAGTTGTTCTCCACGCAAATATACTTACTGATATATGACTGTAGTGACAAACAGTAACCGGTAAGCAACATTTTACTTAATTGACTTTAAAGTCTTCTGATAATTCAATTAAATTACCGTAGTACACTACAGATAGCTGATTTCGTTGGTTTTTTCTAGTCACGGCTTATAGCCACTCATCTGAATTACCTATATAATTGTTGTCACTTAAGACGGAACAATTTTTTCTTCTTTATGGATATTAATCCTACATATACCATTTCCTTCGTCTGATTTCCCATGAATTTAATTCGTCATCTTGGAATTTTCTCATCGAATAAGAATCCACAGATATCATAGTTGTGTGTGGTAAGAACTCTGGCAATGATGTTAAATCAATACGTTCCTTGATAATAAAATTTTTGAAATAAGTTTCTTGTTTTGTTAGTTGCATAATGCGACTTAAGAACTGGTTTATAATTATTTTGAGTGTGAAGCTAGAGAATAAATTATTAAAAGGGTTAAGAGTTACTTAGCCAAAATGTCTCACCAGTCTTATGTAGCTGGGTGATGGAATCTCTTCACGGATAGTATATATATAAAGTTCTTATGCATTTTAATTAATCTTCTAACCCAATAAACTCTGACAATGTTCTCGTTCAGTAACTGCTTGAAGGCTTGTATATAGGAAATTTTATGTAACCTTATCAATCCTGTCCACCTCGCATCATAAACATGCAAGTATATGATCACCAAATGTACGTCAAATGATTCGAAATTGGTATTAACAACTTCTTGTCTTGTCCTCAACTTCATATTATTCTATATTATCAATCTGTCTATCCCTTATTTCAAGTAACAGATGTTAAAGGATTATTATTGTCATGATAGAATAAGATATATATCCAGTCCTGTCTAATTCTAGAAATTCTTTTGTTTGACTATTCTTAAAAACAACTTTAAGTTTAACTTATAGGCTTCAATTCAGTCATCGTAAAAATGAAGCTTTTGGATCTTGTAAAAATGTACCTGTTTAATATATATATATATATATATATATATATATATATATATATATATACTGTCATCCAACTGATGGTGAAATCCTCTCAAGAAAACATTTTTGGTAAGAAAAAAGTATAATTGGTTAAGTTACAAGATACGGTAAGATGCTGCTTCTGAGTAATCGAGTAAAATTATCTGAGACACTATGCAGCTATCTAAACCGAAGTAAATAAAGCAGAGTTCTAGTCCGAGACTCAGTGAGTAGAGCTAATAGCACATCATCATTGCACAACTCTACAATGCAAAATTCTTTTAAATTCGTTGTCAAAAAATAGCGTTTTATGAGTACTACCAACTAAATGGTGCCAAAATACATCGAAACATTAGTTCAATATTACTTTATTTTAAATGTTAATCGTGGTGATATCTGCTTTTGATTAATATCAACCTGAGGAACATTTGCATTTCGGTAGAAGTAAGTAGTTCAGATACAATAATATATGAATGAATCTCCGAAATTTTCTCATAGAATTGGTCATATACCATACAGTATTATTTTCTCATATTTCTTGTTGAGGTTCAAGCCTTTCCGTTATATCCATATCCCATATTTTTTTATTATTTAAATACATATTAAAAAAATAGCTAGATCTGGTACATTTTAAGTTAGTATAATTTATTATATTCGAGTAAATTTTAGCGGAATTAGTCGCATTTTCTTTACGATTGTTTTTCTTCTTGGTAAAAAGAATTTTTTACGTATACTGGATTATGGACATTATCATTGTAATTTGATCATTTTATTGACCATCATTAGTTAGACTGAATTTAATCATTCCTTCCAAGAAAGAAATACATATTTTTTTAAATCTAAAGCATTGAATTTGTCGGTAATTATAATAGTATGTAGAATATATAGACTTTGTAAATTCTAACCTTGAATACTGTGTTGTGTGCAATAACTGTGTGACTTCATTTTCTTGTGTTGTAGATAGTTGGTCTTTAACAACAAACTATGTAAACTAGGGATTTTTTCTTTATTATTTTGATGAATTTTGTTTCTTTTTCTGTGTTTTTTATTAGTTAAGATGTAAGTGGATTGTTGCACATCCATTCACTATCTCACTAGCTGAGTGGTTGGATTTATAATTTGGAATAGTTCATGTGGTAGACACGATAATAAAAATAGATTTATCTCTTCCGTTGTGGTCGACTACATGTTCAGTCTGCAGTGATCTATTCTAGTAAACATCCCAGCACAACACACTTTAGGATAAAATGGAAGAGTGTGTATGAAACTTTGACGAATCTCTTTAATCAATTATGGTTTACACTTTGTCAACACTAAATAATAACTTGATTGTCGTTGGCTGGGATTCTGATTCTCTATTGTAATACCAGGTTGTAATTTAATAACCTTCAATAAACTATTGAATGAACACATAATTGTATGTACATAATAAATGATCTTTTGAAATATTCAACCATCTGTCTCCGGTCACCTCTATGTTAAGAAAATCTAAATCTTTCACATGGCTTTCTTGATAACCCTGTCTCTCAGTCGTACATTGTAATGCGTATCCGAATGAAAAACATAATTCTAGATATTTAAAGGTGCTTTTCATGCATTTTTACCCAAGAGACTTCTCATAACAGTACCGTTAATCTAACGAAACTGTATTTTCTAATAATAGAGCTGAAGATTGCTACCGCATGATAGAAATAACTCAGTTATGTGTTAGAGAAATATTGTTAGTGAATTATAAAACGTAATATGTTGACATAAAATATTAGTTGTCACAATAATAAACGTACTGTTACGCAAAAAATAGGGAATCCCTAATGGTTAGTATTGACTTATTTATTTGATGTTTAATCCCTGTTCATTATTCTTACGATCAAACCATTTCGGAAGTGAAATATCCGTGTAAATTTCAAGTGTTCTCCGCGAGACCTGAAGGTCCTCGGTTCGATCATGGATCCACGCATTCGAAGAGTTCCATAACATCTGTTTAATGCTCCTTTGTTTTCAGTAGTGCTTTAGATGTGACCAATATATAAGGAGTACGACTTCTCAATGTCCTTCACTACCACATTATTTTCACTCAAATATTTACCATTGTTTGAGATCAATGTATTTTACACAGAGAATCCCACACTGTATCAAACGTATAACTTTGAATAAGGCTATCATTTAGTTTGTATTTTCGCCAAACCAAATTCAAATTCATTAAGCCTACGCTTATTTACATAAGTAAAATATTTTTATCATGTTTCTCAATTTTTACCGGGTTACGTTTTCAGGAAGATAGATGTCTAAAACTGTCAATTAGCTAATTTTATTTTTACTCTCATTATCAGAAAAACAAGATGCAGTTCACGACGATCCTGTGGAATCTCTAGATTTAGTTACTTCGAATATGACAACAAACTTAGCATCGTCATCATTACGTACGTCAGATCTCAGAAATTCAGAATCAACTAATGGCTTGTCAATTACTACATCAACGTCAAATGCTGAGTTAGATCTAAGAGATCTTGGGAAACAATTATCAATTGGTGTTACACGTGAGGTGGGTGTGTGGGGTAGTATAATTATGCTTATTTAGGGTTTTGTAAACGGTATTTGTTTATTCTCTGAGGAATTCTTGTTCTATCTAGCTAGTTCCCCAGAATTATAATTTGCAACTGTCGTTCGGTGGTTTAGTCACGCGAATTGGTAGATTTAAAATAATGCAGTAATCGTGAATCACAACCGGCTAACCAATATTTTTTGTACATTTAGCTTAAAGTGAGTTCAGTGTAAGCATCGAGTAACATTGTTTTTGAACATGCAGTACATACATACGTTAGCAGCGTTTCTGCATTGCCCTGATATTGGAAAACCGCCGGGTGTGTAATGTATAATTTCAATTCAAGGCATGGTATCATTCCATGAAATCGTTGATTAGTAGGTGAAAACGTCCTAGTTAGTATCTACATGTTGATCGTAATGAATGGAGAAGTGTCGTGATATGGTTCAAAATCAGTGTCATTGACTTAATTGTTTACACTACTTGCCTTAAGTTTCAATTTCTTTTTGTACATATTTTATCCCACTAATTCATTCCTTCTACTCGAACTGTACTCTCTATGTGTAGTTGTTTTTGACTACCTTAGATGATATTATTACTTCGACTTCTTTGCTGCAAATCCTATTAATTTCATTTCATTATTTGGCCCTGTGGTGATTGGAATCAGATGCTACTTTGTTTACGACTAGTTGAATGATTAAAGTATCATGTAATGCACCTTATATCATAGTGTGTCAAAATAATTGAAATACAAAAGAATAAACAAATAATAAATAAAACCATATTCTCAAAGAGAGAAATGGTCAAATAAACTATATTCACAAAGCCCTCTTCAATATAAGTAGGGGATAAAAAAGCCCCCACACCGGTAGCGGGCTCCTATCATTCAACTAATGAACATATACTTAGTGACCAAGATTCATAGTATTTATTGTTCGTTTATCGTGTTATTAGATGGGAAATTCAGTGATACATAATGTAAAACGTCTTTAGCAGATCGTAAAGTATCATAAATTTAATATTTGGTAATTTCGGACTACTTTGCTGTGATTGATTACCACTAATAGCAAACAGCTATCCATTACTTATTGTTATAAGATAACGAATTGATGAATCAGTCTATGCTGGTATAAACTGTTAATTGATAACTCATAAATTCTTACCGTACCAATATCAAAGGGTCTCCTACTACTTACAAACTCAATTGCACACGTATTTCAATGTTATATAAAATAAACATTTAAAAGTTATTTAGTAAATAACCAGTTATAAATCAAAAGATCACGAAAAGCTACTGATTCATCAATCGATTTACTATCTAAATGTAAAGCTTAATTTATGACTACTATGTCATAACTCTACTTACCTCTTAGTACCTGATTGATTTATACTGAATCATAATAACATGTAACTTTCGCGTTCATTCCCTTTTCATAATTTAAATTTTGACAATGGACCGAATAATGTATAAGTTTATTTACCACAAATCCAATTTTATCTATTATTTAAATTTGTTTTAGCAGGGCGGATTTCGTAAATTAATATATTTTAGAGAAGCTTCAGTTTTATAAAACACTAAAATATAAATTGTAATATTTTCTTGTTCTTTGATTTCTTTTAATTAATAATGCATTGTTTAATCACAGTGAAGGTAAAGTAAATGAATGATGACTTATATAATATTTGAATATTGTTACAGAACAAATTTCTATATTAGTTAATATAGTAATATTAAGGATCCATATGTAGTTATTAGGGTAAATCACAAAATCATTAGTACTTGGAACCAACACTGTATATACAACATATAATAATTATTATCTTAAATCAATATCATTGTAAATACATCACTTGTGTATTTTTTTGTTTCGCACTACATATCTATTTAACGTTTCCCAGGTAAAACTATCTGCGTATTTTCAATCCTGTTGCTATACACTAACACATTATTATCAGAAATTATTTGAACTAAAGTTAGTATTCTAGTGGTGTAGTACTGAATCTAACTAATACATACTTGATATTTATTCAATTGTTTTGTACATTTTAATCTTAACATTTAGGCAGTATAAATGTCACAGTATTTTGTCATTGAATGACTAAAATCAACATACCATACGAATTTACTTGATTCAAATTGTTAGTTATAATAACTTGATTGATGTGATATATTGGCAAAGAACGACTGTTAAAGTAACTATTCTAATTTCAGAAGAAAATTATGTAAACTTGATAAGTCATTGGTATAGCTAAGTACTCTTATTTGAATATATATACGATCATAAAAATATGGCTTAAACCATTGCATTGCTTCCCAACTTTACGTGATCAACTTGTTTATTCATTTGAAGAAGCCAAGTTAATTTTTCTCACCATGATACCAGACAAAATACTTTTCAAATGTATATTTGATTTCATGTTGCATAATTTTTAAGGTACAACGTCACTGGCCAATTTCAGTATCTAAAAAACATAGATTCATTTGGTATTGCTTTGAGCCTCGGAGTGAACTTCAACTCTAAGATGCAGGCACATCTAGCTGACGAGTCCCGAATAGGACGAAACGTGCGTACTGTATTTCCCTGCTATCCACCAACCATTTTTACTTAAAAAACTTTTATTTGTTGTTGAGTAAAACACTGAATAAAGATTACTAGTTTTCAGTTCACACGCCTTTTACGACTTATTCAGCAAATTTCCATCAATACTCGGTTTAGAACATTGATGCCGGTAGTTATTTAGTGAGTAATTTGGATAATGTTAAAATATTTTAATTTGATTTTCAATGAATTTTGTTCACTGATTGACTATTGTGACTCGGTTTTGCAAACGCGATACAGTTCTTTTTTTCTTCTCAATTATGTCAGATGGCACGTGAAATTAAACTGGTAACTATTTATTTGTCTTTGGGTTGTCCAGATCGTATACGTTTTGAATATCAATTTTTCTGCACTAAAGATAAAGGATTACAGAAACAATTGAATTCATCTTACTCCGACTTATTAATATGTCCACCATTAGATCCAGATGGAGACGGTATAAGTAATGGTTTAAGGCGTCTTTTACATTTGAATGCCAGTGATTATTTACTTCATCGTGATTGGGTTGTAAGTTGAATTATTTCCATGCCCTTAATGTTGTTTTTAAATATCATTATATATATCTGACTTGGTTGTATATAGTTTTTACGAATAGATTGTCCATTTCAGCTAGCAAAACCAGCTTTATTTAATGTAGTGAGATAACGTTGCTGCTCTTTCTTTTTGAATTATTTTGTAAAATAAAGTAACGTGTGGAAAAGAATTAACTATTTCATTTCTTCACAATGTTCAGATTTTGAAAACGAATGCTTTAGTTAACTCGTGGTTTTTGTTGAATGGTCGGCTGTCATCAACAAACTTATTAATAATAAATTGTTTTGGTTAGTTACTCATCCTCCAACAAACTTACATATGAATTGGTTTAAATTATAATCGTAGATCTGTTTTAACCTATTTCATCATCTAATTTAATTCGTTTGTTTATGTAATTCAGTTATATTTAGATAATGTAATCTTCAATTTCAGTCTCGTCATTCTATTCGAAGCAATACGCCAGTCCCTACATCTTGTCATTCTTCTCAAGCTATTCCTAGCGTTAACATCTCTACAGTTGCTACAGTTACGACAACTCAAAGCTGCACATCAACATTATTACCAAAAACACTAACTGGAAGTCATCTTTCACAGATATCCGAATTACCTATTATGGTTACAGCTCAACAACCTTCAACAGTGACTACCAGTATTTCAGCAAAGCAACCGACAATTATGATGTATTCTCAGCCAAATACTATACAAGTTCTTATTAATGGACAGCCATCCATTTTTCAACTGAATTCCACCTTTTCAGCTTCGAATCCAATTATTTCGTCATTATTAACAACAAATAGTTTAATGAAGCCTCCAATAGCTTCAGTTCAAAGTCCAAAATTAGTCTTATTACAACAACCAGTTGGACAAAAAGTTAGTTTGAGTATGAAGCTTGTTTTTTTTAATGTGAAAGCTTAACTGAGAGAAGTCACAAATTACATAAGCAGATTTTTACAAAACAATTTGAATCCTTGTTTTATCAATGAAGTTGTGACTAGTATTAGAGACGAATGGCAGGAAGTTATGGACGGTCAAACCAAAACGCGACATCAGTCCTTCAAGTCACTAACTTCTAGTCTTAGCCATGTTGATAGATGCAGACTACATGGTTGGGGTCCACGCGACTATCGTAACCAGTGGTTTGAGACTGGGTGACATGGTTCAAAATCAATGGCGTAGGTGTATAAACTCTGTTTTCTCTTAAACCATGAGATTAAAATCAATTTGTTCCTTTCTTTCTACGAACTAATTCTTTATCTCTGTGTCCTTATATGCAATCTTGATTTATATATAATACTACCATTGAAGTAACTACTTCTATAAATTTTGTGTTCAGCTTGTTGTGCTAATGAGGTGTGACAACTTTAACCGATGCATATATGTGCCTGGTCTTACGTTGTAGTTGACTGATTGACTACTCAATAAACTATCAACATGTTGGACTTACCTAGTAAATTAGGCATCTATCTGTTCTTAGTTCGGACTTAACTAGATTCAATACGATCTGCACGAGTGACTAACATCGATCGATACTGCTAGTAACAGAAGATTGCATTGTTTTATTATGCCTTTTGTAACAGTTCATTATGTTTACATATAATTGTTGTATAACATAACTGAGCTGTAAATACTTAACAGCAAAGATTAGAATTCATACAGTGTCAATTCCATAGTCACTATGTTTTTATAATGATGTGTGATCGATCACATGAATTTGTGATCCAATGATGACCGTTCACGAAATTCTAGGTTTTACACCAAACCCGAATAGGAAACAGAACAATCAGCCATTGAAGAAATTTGTATTTTTCTTGTAAATTGATATTTATGACCAAAATATTCTTACACTATACATATGTATATGAACTGTACTTCCAAGTTTGGGGTTTATTTCAAACATAGTGATCTGTATGCAGTATTATTGTCACAAACACTAAGTGTCCCTGAAATTCTTCCTGATTTCACTATTTGTGCACTAATATTTTCTTTTTCTAATGTATTTAGATACAAGTTCCTATTGTTGAACGACAATTAGACCATGAACGACAAGTAACTTCAACTGTAGCAATAAGTCAAGGACCATATATCCCATTACTACCGAAACAATCAATTGTGCCCATTCAAGTCGGTGTAAAAACATCGACACCATTAACAGGCACTTTTGTATCGTCTAGCTCTATTCCTTCAACGTCCACATGTATAATTGAGAATGAAAATAATTCACCTGTAACTTCATCGTTAGAATCGTTAAAGGCATTTAATGCACGACGTCGAACTAGTATTATATCACAAGTCAACAAACGTTTAACTGAAAATTCGATTCTAACTAAAGAATTACAATCAAAACCACCAACAATTACATCTATTTCAAACAATTTACCTACATCATACAATACTTCAGCAAATCCTTGTACGACTAAATCTTCAGTTCAATCACTTCAGGTAAGCGTTTCTTTTAAAGTGAATTTTATGTTATATTGAAGTTTCCGGTTCCACGAAAGTGACTAGTAACTTTGGTATAATTTTAATCATGAACTGATTGTAGTTGTAAGACAACTGGATATCAATTATTACGCCCTAGATTAATCACTATTAGATATCGTTAACTTGTTTGATAGTATGATATTTCGGATAACGACTAAGGCTGATATTTAAAATGCACATCCCATTCGTAACTTCTGAGTTGTCTGCGTACCATTTAACTAATCATGTATTATTACAGTTTATAGTAAGAAACTGTTCAGTAGGTACATTGATAAGTGTTCATTGTCCTCGGTAGGTAACTGCGTCATACCTCACACAGTTGATCTCCATTGGTCATAGCTTCTCACTAGAACTGAAATTTACCTCGAAGCCAGCCACCATTAAGCACATGATAATTATCATTATAGGATTGTGTACATTGTTGAATTTCATTGCGGTCATGAACCTATGAATGTTAGACCACCATTGAAAACCTAGAAGCACTGCACAGCCATTTCATCTTAGTATGAGACTCTTCGGTAGTGCGTATTCGCAATCACGTACGCGGGACTCAGACTAAGTACCTTCAGTTTCGTGCGAACTTGAAGTTGGTTGCTCAATATCGTGGACTTGTTGAAATATGACATTAAAATTATTGGATACCGGCTCAGTGTTCTAGAGGTTGAGCGTCCACGCGAGACTGGAGGTACTTGGTCCGAGTTCCGCGTGCGGGATTGTAGATATGCACTACCAAAGAGTCTCATACTAGAACGAAACGGCTGTGCAATGCTACTAGGTTTTCAATGGTGGTCTAACATTAATCGATTCATGATTTCAATGAAATTCAACAAACTTCACAACCCTATAGTGGTAAATAATTTTTACTGTATTCATCTATATATACATATATGATCAAATTTACAGGCAATCGATAATCAAACTTTGACAACAATCAAAGGTGATGAAGCATCTGTTAATAATATACATTCTAAATCAATAACACTTTCAACACCATCAAATTCTAATAATTTATGGTCATCCATTAATGTACCGAATAATGAACCGATGGTAACAACATCAACTGTTTTCAATGATCATTTACCTCAAGTTCATAGCATATCGAGCTTATTATCATCTTCACCAAATTTATCATCATTACAGTCTAATAATGTAATGTCTTTTATTTCATTATCTAAAAATTCTTCCAATACAGATGTTAATATGGATGATCTATTGTTAGTCTCAACAGAGACAAATCAATGCTCTATGTCATCATCATCGTTCAGTAATGATACACTGGCATCCCTGTTAAATACATTATGTCCACGTTGTCCTTTATCTTCTACTCATGATAATCAAACTATATTATCCGAATCATCTGCTCGACCTACTGATAGTACCCTATCTCCATTAAATGAATTATCAACGCCAGATTTACATAAAACAAAATTCTCTACACCTCCAACTAATGATGTACATGTTTCACTTAAAATAGAAGAGAATGCTGAAAAATCATTTGACTTTAGAACAATTGATTCCGTTTGTAGTTATCCACCAGTTTCTCCATCGATTGGTGATATTTCATTCACTGATTCAATGGCTGGTAAGTGAAAGTTCACTCATATTAGCTATGTTTGTAAAGTAGTGTCATACAAATTAACGATATAGTTATGACAAAAATCAAAACTTCTATGACCAGGTTACCAAGTTTATATATTCCTGTCAGTAAATAATCCTTTATTTGATAAAGTTTACTAGATATCCTTAATATAAGTGGTTATAGGATTCGGTTTTATATTATTGGCTTAAACTATGTGCAACCTACTTTGATTTGATAAGTTGAGTAGTATCACTAGCCCTCCCACAGAATATCTTGTCCAAAGCTAAATACATAAATCCGTACTTCGTAAATGAATTAGACCAAAAAATAGAACAACTACTGGATATATTTCACTGTGGTTAGGTAGAGAATGATTCCCCGACCGTTGTTGCTACCTTGACGTGGTGGTCGGGCTTACCTATCGTGATGAAGCAATCTATAATGATAAAGTAATCTAGCTATACTGGCTGGAATAACTGTTCCTCAAGGTCCTACCACGTCAGAAAGGTCGGTTGAAGGGCGGTAAGACTAAAAGCAACAAATCCAAGGTCAGAAGGCGAAGTCGTACTGCTGACTGTACAGAGGTGTGACAGCTGTAAGGTGTTTCCTTCAGACAACCAGCATGACAGCGATGCTGCCTTCCCACAAGGAGGGGTGGGGTTAGAAATGGTCGACCCTAAAAATGCACACCTCGCCTTATCCCACGGATATCCGTCTCCGGCGGTGAGGTCTCAACAAGTACGGAGCTAACACAAAAATTACCCATAGAAAGGTCGTGTGTGACCGACCTCAATCAGTTGTCCTTTGGGCACTGCGGTCACGCTCCCAGGTCACTAAGACCACTTCTAATCCGATTTCCTTTTCGGGTACCTCCAGAAGAACCCTTCCACGGTGTGGGCAACCGAAAAGTGATAACCGCCCACATACCTCTAACAGCACTCAAGACCACTGGATTCATAATCAACCTCCCTCTTCAATTCCTATTATTCCTTCTACATCAACTTCAAACTCTAAACTTCTTTTTTTGGTTTCCCCCTCAAGTGTCACCATAGCCAACGATTCTAGTGCTCAAAACACTGTCCCAGGTCTACTGAAACCTCGCTCCACACTACACATTGGAGCCTTCAACGTACGCACCCTATGTCAAATCGGTCAGCAGGCTTCCCTGGCTAAAACCCTAGAATCTCGTACCACTGATGTGTGCTGTGTCTCCGAAACACGCATACAGGATCCCAGTGTGGTCATTCACTTGACCTCACCTCGACAAAACGGAGAGCCAACGCGATACACCCTCCGTGTTTCTGGTGACCCGATGGCCAGCTCTCGTGGACTGACAGGATTAGGGATAGCACTAAGAATGAGGGCTGAACAAGCACTGTTAGAGTGGATCCCCGTCAACAGTCGTCTATGTGCTGTCCGGCTAAACGGCTCCGTAAGAACTCGGAAGGATATGGACACACATCGTTGCCTTTTTGTCGTTTCTGCCTACGCTCCCACCGACTGCAGCTCAGATGAAGTGAAAGATGAATTTTCCGGAAAACTTTCCGAACTTCTTCAGAAAGCTAAATGCTCAGACATAGTACTCGTAGCAGGTGACTTTAATGCCCAGATAGGTAGTTTAAACCAAACAGAAAGGCATTTAGGTGGGTATTTTAGTATACCGGCACAACGAACAGATAATGGTGATCGTCTGCTGCAACTATGCTCAGACAATCGTTTATTTTTAACAAACACAAATTTTAGGCATACGGAGAGACATCGTCTAACACGGCGACCCCCTACACCAAACCAATGATGGACTCAAATAGACCATATTGCCATCAGTCATCGTTGGAGAGGGTCGGTAGAAGATTGTCATTCATTCTGGAGTACCTGCTTGGACTCCGACCACGCCTTAATACGAGCACGCATCTGCTTGCGCCTCACTGGACGCAAAAAAGCCACAGTGAAAAGACCCGTTAGAACTGAGTTGAGTAACGAGAAAACCAAAAATAAGTTCCAGGAACAACTGAGGTCACACTTAGGTAGTTCTGAAAACGAGGCTGACCCAAATGTTGCTTGGAAAAATATACGAACAGCTGTGGAAACAGCAATGAAATATATTAGTGACTTAACCCACAAAGTTACAAAGAACCAGTGGATTTCTTCAAAGTCTATCACACTGATGGATTCTCACAAACTAGTCCCATCAGGTTCCGAACATGATGAAGAGCGACAACAAATCAGATCTAGGTTAAGAAAAAGTCTAAGAAACGACCGTGAGCAGTGGTGGGCAACGAAAGCAAAAAAGATGGAAAAGGCGGCAGCTATAGGGAACACAAGACAGCTCTACAGACTAATAAAAGAAACTGGAACTAATAAGTCAAGTGTAAGTGAGATTATTTCGGAAAAAGACGATACTCTCATCTATTCCCAGTCCAGACGTTCAGAACGATGGGCGGAACACTTTAGGGAACAGTTCAGCTTTCCTTCAGCGACTCTACAACTACCGTCCATTCCCAGACAGTGTGAATGGAACATTGAAGTACGTCCCCCAACTCTAGCAGAAGTTCAAAAGGCTATAGTTAATCTGAAACGAGGAAGGGCAGCTGGTCCAGATGGATTGGCTCCAGAGGTCGTTAAGGATGGTGGTCCAATTTTATCGATTAGGTTGACTAATATTTTAGCTAAGATCTGGAAGTTAGACGTTATTCCATCTGACTGGTCAAAATCACTTATCGTCCCAATATATAAGAAAGGATCAAAATAATCTTGTGACAACCACAGAGGGATTAGTTTAACAAATATAGTATCTAAAATACTAGCCTCGATAATTATCAGACGCCTAACTAAGACTCGTGAACTACAAACACAAGAAAATCAGGCTGGCTTCAGACCTGGTCGTGGCTGCATCGACTACATATTCACCATTCGTCAGGTTCTAGAACATAGGCATGCTTATCGGCGTCCGACAATGGTGATCTTTCTTGACTTAAAAGCAGCATTTGACTCGTTAGACCGCGAGATTCTGTGGCAATGTCAGTCATTGAAAGGCGTACCCCAGAAGTACATAAACCTTGTAAAGGCTCTTTACTCGAACACTACTAGTCGAGTCAGAGCTTATGGTAAACTGTCATCTACTTTTGCAACCTCAAGTGGTGTCCGTCAAGGCTGTCCACTTTCTCCATTTCTGTTTAACTTCATCATAGACCTATTGATGGAAATAACATTCTTGTCTACTGAATTCTCAGGTATTGATCTTCTACCAGGAGGTCCACTTATCGACTTCGAATACGCAGATGATATAGTCCTGTTTGGTGAAGACGCTGATACAATGCAGAGTCTTTTGGTAGCACTAAGCTACAATACCAGAATGTTTGGAATGCGCTTCTCTCCCTCTAAATGCAAGTTTTTGCTTCAGGACTGGCCTGCTTCAACACCTGAACTAAGGATAGGGAGTGAAGTATTCGAACGCGTCGACAACTTCACTTATCTTGGAAGTCTGATCAGCCCTAATGGGCTGGTATCGGACGAAATCTCAGCACGGATTCGAAAAGCTCGTTTGGCTTTTGCCAACTTACGCCACTTATGGAGAAGGCGAGATATCCGTCTATCAATAAAAGGACGAGTATACTGCGCGGCAGTCTGTTCTGTCTTACTTTACAGCAGCGAAACATGGCTTTTAAGAGTAGAGGACACCCGTAAGCTACTAGTATTTGACCACAGATGCCTTAGAAATATTTCTGGCGTCTGTTGGGATCACCGGGTAAGTAATAGTGAGGTTAGACTCAGGGTATTAGGTAATGATGGTAAATCAGTTGATGAGGTTGTTAATCTTCATCGACTGAGATGGTTGGGTCACGTGTTACGTATGCCTGAACACCGATTACCACGACGTGCAATGCTAACGGGTGTTAGGGATAGCTAGAAGAGGATTAGGGGCGGCCAAACCAAAACGTGGCATCAGTGCTTGAAGTCACTAGCCTCTAGTCTGAGTTATGTTAGTAGATGCAGACTACTTGGTTGGGGTCCGCGTGACTTTCGTAACCAATTGTTGGAGACTCTTGGTGACATGGCTCAGAATCGATCACAATGGCGTCGGTGCATACACTCCCTGTCTTCCCTTAAACTAAGAGATTAAAATCGCTTCATATCTTTCTTTCTACGAACTAATTCTATATTCCGGTACTGTATCCTTATATGCAATCTTTCTCCTATATATTACCACCTTTAACCTAACCACTCCTATGAATCCGGTGTTCATCTTGCTGTGCTAATAAGGTATGGCAACCTGGACCAATGCATATATGTGCCTGGTCCTACGTTGTAGCTGACTGAATGATTCTGTCATTTCAACTAATTAAATTTTTATTACAGATTAATAATAACCTATTACTATAAAATATATTTATATCTGTGTACTTGTATGAAGTATGTCCAAATTATTTTATTGAATGTTATCGGTAGAATCCTTTCATTTGTACAATTTCATCGGTGATTTTTCTGGTATACGTGATGCGACGATTTTGTAATCTTGACTAGTTCCTACCTTCATATCTTCAAGTGACTATTATAACTGTCGTAAACACCCTAACAAAGTTGTGGTTGTTCATTTTACTATTTATTTTTATGAAAGTCCCTGTAAAGTTGATTACTAGCTAAAATAATTATGCTTAGTTTTTTTTACTTGCCATTCAGATTCCTGATATAAGTTCCAAATCATTGCACCATGTCCTAATTGATATTGTTGAGTATTAACTCCCTATTTTCTTCATCCTATTCCTTGAGTGCTGTTAGAGGTATGAATACAGTAGTCTTTTATTTCAACTCCCAGATTTTAGCCAAAATATTAGTCAACCTAATCGATAAAATTGGACCACCGTCCCTAAAGACCTCTGGAACTATTCCAGCTGCTCTTCCTCGTTTCAGAATAACTATAACCTTTTAAACTTCAGATAGAGTCGGGAAACCTACTTCCGTATTCCATTCACGTTGTCTGGGAATGGTGGGTAGATTTAGAGTAGCCAAAGGCCAGCTAAACTGTTCCGTCCATCGTTCTAAACGTCTTGGCTGATAAGAGTGTCGTCTTTTTCGAAGTCTCACATTTGACTTATTAATTCGTTTCTGCGCGGCAGTTCGTTCTGTTTTACTTTACGGCTATGAAACGTGGCCATTAAGAGTAGAAGATACTCGTAAGCTACTAGTTTTTGACGACGCATGTATTAGAAATATTGCTCCCATATGCTGGGATCACCGGGTAAGTAATATTGAGGTTAGACGCCGGGTATCAGGGAATGGCGGTAAATCAGTTGATGAGGTTGTGGATTTCACCGACTGAGATGTTTGGGTCACATGTTTCTCATGCCTGAACAGCGATTGCTACGACGCGCAATGCTGACTGGTGTTGGGGATGTTTGGGAGAAAGTTAGGGATGGCCAAACCAAAACGTGGCATCAGTCCTTGAAGTCACTAACTTCTGATTTGAGCCATATTGGTAGATGCAGACTACTTCATTGGTGTTCGCGTAACTATCGTATCTGGTGGTTGGAGACTCTTCGTGACATGGCTCAGAATCGACCACTATGGCGTAGGTGTATACACTCTCTGTCTTCCCTTAAACTGTGAGATTAAAATTACTTTATACCTTTTTTTCTATTAAGTACTATATCCTTATGTGCAATCCTTTTATATATTACTACCATTGAATTAGCTACTTTATGAATCCGGTGTTCATCTTGTGCTATTGAGTTGTGGCATCTTGGACCAATGCACATATGTGCCTGGTCCTACGTTGTAGCTGACTGACTCATCCTATTTCTAATGATATTTTCTTGAAGATGGCAAAATTCGAGAAGGGAATTTTCAGACGTGTTAACGGGATATACTTAGTGTATGTCTTTCATAAGATACCTCAAATTTCTCACCAACTTTATGCTCACAAGCAGTTCTTTATAAACTAGATATTTGAGAGTTTGATATCAGTTCTCCGGTGTTTTTAAACTTCCTTATATAGTTTGACGTTTATTTCTCTTTTTTTTTCATGATAGCTGCTGTAATGGATGTACACCATATGGAGTTAGATCATTCTGATGGAGAGCAGAGTACCGATGTTCACTCTGAACCGTCAAATCTCATAGCTTCAAATCTTATTATTCAACCTGATATTTATCCAATAAGACCGTCATATGAATCTGTAAGTTCTATTCTGTTTTCTGTACATAATGATATTTTTTTAATATTCAAATGGATGTACAATGTTAAATTGTTATTTCTATATGATTCGCCTTCTTTATAGCGGAAAACTGGAAAGCACTTCTCCTTGACGATCTATCGACGCAATATAGAATTTTCATGATTTTATTGACTCAAAATTTTCTGTTCTGTATCTAATATTTTCACTATTTATGAGTATGTACAAAAACAGTAGATTCATTTCGGTGACCAGTTTGTACTCATAGAAATCACATCACCAATTAATTGGTATTATATTTATTAGAAAGTTGTACACATGGGAAAATGAAATTAACTAATCACATGAACATAGACATATGTTCAATGGAAAACCGCCTTCAAAAGTATCTAAGTTACTATACTTTATAACAGCATATGTAGCAGAAATGAACAAAAGTAGTAGAAAAACTAAACTTGACAAACAAAAGTTCGCGAAATTAAATAATTGATAAGTTATATATTCGGAATTTAGAAAACAAAGGTTGTACGTCTACAATTATCGACTTCCCAAGTCATCCCTACTTTTATACTTCAATTATTTTTATCGACGGAATATACGCTTACGACTCCAGATCAACAGTCTGTGACCCTTTCTGTAACAGTTCTACCATTTAAACCCGATCCTACCTTCAAGTAGCGACGCATACTCGTCCTAATCGGAGAGGTTTACAACTTCATCAGGATTACTCACTTTCAACGGTAGGGGCAACCGCAAAAAGTCACGGTCGCAGTGATACCTTTTGAAGATACCAGAAATCCTCTCTCTCTTATTAGTCCTCCTACCCCTACAACGAACGCTCCTCATACATCACCACGCGTCAAACCATATACTGGCTTTTAATGTTCTAACATTGTGTCAGATACGACATCACGCTTCCTTAGTCAACACTAGAATCTCGCACTAACCATTTATACTACGTCTCCGAAACGCGAATTCAGAATCCAAACACGGTCAGTCACTTGACTTCACAATGCCAATACAAAGAAACAGGGCGATTTACACTTAGTGAATAATCTGGAAAATTTAAACCACTAAAAAGATCAGAATCTGTAGCGATGTAAAGCTACTAAGTTTTTCTGAATTCGGCTGGTAAAGTGAATCAAATATTTAATACGTTCTAATCCAATTGTTGGCAGATAACATTAGCAATTTGTTTTTTTTTTTTAAACCCCTGACAACGGTTCTAGATCGTCAATAATGGTTCGTAAATTATTGGTATGCTTTTTCCGTCCCTTTGTTTCTAGCTTGTGGAACATGATGATATTAAAACTAGAGGTATTAGCACATCTGAATATAATTGTATAACAAATGTTGAAGTATTCCTTCGGATGAATACACCACAATCCAGAAGAAATTCAGTTGGTCTCAATTCAACATTGCCAAGTTCGACTACTTCATCTAGTTGAGAAACTTATCAACAAGCGACGGCGAAATTGTTTTGCCAAACAACGTTTTGCATTTTAAGGTCGTATAGCGGCATTTAATACGTATTATGAATGTTGAACAATTACCCATTAATTAGCTGATCAATGTGAATACTGACATGAACCACCAATTTTATGTACAATAATGATATTTTGAATGGTTGAAATTTCCAATATATTGCTTTTTTAAGTGTCTGTATTATCATGTGCATTGACAATATTTCTGCAGTTCCATTTAAAACGCAAATATATAGAACAAGGCTTGGAAGCTTCATTGTAATATTAGTTACAAAATTATTGGGATTTTTAAATTCGCCACTTACATTGGAGCTTGTGAATTTGATTAAGTCTACAATAAACAATAGTTTTGTCAGCACCTATTCTGTCTCAAGATGGAATTTAAAATAAGTAGTTTAGTTTGCGTGCAAGAGTGAGGTTGCACGACTGGTACCCACCTAAATAGACACATTATTCAGATTTCAAACGGACGCCTCAGTAAATGCAGTCTGGTGCATGTATCTTTCTGTCAGATCATACCAAGACATTCGTAACAGTGCACGGAAAAAAAAAGAAAATCTTTAGTACTTAACATTTTTATGAAGTAGCGTATTGTATTTGAATTGATAAACAACCATAACTAGGATAACGATCAAGTTTCTCAACGAAGCTACATATAACTTGGGCTGTGAGCACATATAATAAAGAACCAGGCGTATCTTAAACAATTTCAGTAAATACATGTTGATTATGTAGTGTCGCTGATGTTGATCTTCAAACTTTTGATATACAGAACTTATTAATAAATGTCTACCATAAGGCGTTTGACGCCCCACCCGGAGGTTGTTTGGTTCGAATTCCTGTGCGAATCGGACGACTATCGTCGTACTGAGCGCCTAAAAAAGATGTCAAAAGTCGAATATAACACCTCACAAGAAATGAAAAGTCCAAAAATCAATAAAATAGCCAGAACGTTGCCTCACCAACTTAAATACGCAGTCGCTGATGTAATCAAAAAAGAGTATTTTCCTTATTGAATCAACTGACCATAAAACTATAATTTTAATGCCTGAAATTTTTCCAAGTTAATATAAATAGACTTTTTCTATATTCAACAGTCTTTCATATTTATTTTAGTCATACATTAACGTGAGTATGCTAAAAGTAGATGGGTCTTAAGTCTTTGTAGTTTCGATATTTCAGTTAGCTACATTGTAGTAAACGAGTACACCAGGGGGGACAACCAAATGTAAAATCCGAGAACCATAAAGTAAATTCTTCATTTGCAAAATACCAATAAATTATTTCAAACTTGACTGTTCCTTCGTTTCAGCACTCTGTTCTCGTTCTCTTCTTTTCGATTTTCTCAACCTTGTGCCACCAGGTACATCACTTTTGATAGATGATACATACTACTTGTGTCTGACGACATTAGTAGCACACACCACAACATAATTGTTCGTAGTAAACGAAATCGTCGAGGAAACTTTTCTTCGTTCAAACGTCTTGACATTATGGTATTATCCATGTAACCAATATTTATTTAAACGAAATAAAGACGGTTCAGCGAAGAAACTGTTTTCGAAGATGTTATCTATTAGTTTTGTACAATTATGTTTATATTTAGTTTTACACAATAAATTAGAGTTGTTACGTCATGTAACAAAGTTATCACCAATGGTGAAACGTTCTCATCTGTAAGACTACTAAATAATTTGTACTTGATACATGATCCATAAAGACTAGAAAATATATAACACTAGAGATATTACAATGTAATCTTTTTAATCCTCGTATATGTGAATGTGCATGTAACATAGTAATCCATTAAATATGTGACTGGTTTTATTTGGCTATTTCACTAGTTCAACTGAAATTGAAATTTTATAAACCTAAGTTGAATCTTGTTTCTAACGCGGTTCACATGGCTATCTCTAGCTCTTAGTTGGTTAACTCAGCCAACAGCATTACACCATGCACTTCACTATCCCGCTATTACAGTTTATAACACTAATTCTTTGAAGGTGCTGCTAAACACAATGGCATCAATCACAAACTGGACCTTGCAGTTACAATGGTAAATTATAATTGGTAGAGTTGAATCAAATAATTTTTCAAAGGTTTGCAGATAGGTTGATCACACATTTCATAGTGTATTAACATAAATTGACGCTTTACAACAATTATCTGTGACTTAATGGTTTAGATTTGATATTTCGACCATCAAGTCAAGGATTTGGATTTATGCTAGATTATTCAGGCTAAGTAATAGTATACATGACAACGATAATACACGTTAAAGAGCTTTGTATTCAGGTTTTCAGATAACTACTTGACTGTTCTTTACTCTTATTTCATTGATTTGTATGATCATCAAGCATTAATTCACTTAACGTGTGAGTCATACTAATTTGGGACTACATTGTAGCTTTTAGGACCGGATATATGCATAGGACTTGATCAGTTTATTCATCGGATCAACAAATAACCCAATGATTTAAGGACCATATTCGGTTTACTGCTTATAAAATTCCACACCCCGAATGAACAACATCAAGATAACAGTAAATTGCAGTTGTTCATTCTGCGAATTTCCTAATCTCTGACTCTATGTTCTAGATCATAATCTTTTGGGCCAAGGAGATACCCAAATAAGACATGAACTTACCGTCTGAGTCTTAAAATATTACTTTCTCAAGTAGTTTACCGTTTGTAATTATTACTATAAATTTTAATTTTACTCCCATCAATCAGCCTAATCACTTTTGGTTGTTTCATGAATAGCTCAACATAAATGTTACACGTCCTTGCCTGTTATAAAACTGAAACAAATAACGTTTAAGGATAATTCTATGAGTGGAATGTTTTCTAAATAGACCTACCACTCAGAGAGAAACTGGATTCCTGCATATTCCGACCGCCCGAACGTGTAGGTGAGCGAGGGCGCAAGCCATCAGCGTCAGACCCCACTGAGACTTTTTCTGTACCATTATTGACGATGGCATCTTTCATTGGAATATTGAATTCTGTGGACACAGGACCAGTATATGAATCACGAATTATAGGTTTGATCGAACGCATCTAGAGAAAATATTAGTAATAAATAATCAGTGGATAGTCAGTCAACAACGTAGGACTTCATACGTACGTACATCAGTTCGAGTTGCCTTACCATATTAGCACAAAGATACAATTGTCGATTCAAATCCCACAGTGGTAGAGGCAGTAAAAGTTTAGGCAGTAATGGGAAACATTAGAGTTTGAAGATGTTATTCAAGGAGTATAATGCAGTAAAATAAATTTGGAAAGAGGAAAAAGCACATGGAGAATTCGGATTAAAATTTGGGAGAACACAAAGAGTATATGCACCTGCACCATTGCAAACGATTTCGAGACATGTCATTTATGGTCTCTAAACATCGGTTGCTATCGTCTCGCGGATCCCAACCAGGTAGTCTACACCTACCGAAATGGCTCAGTCCACTTGTCAGTGACTTCATGGATTTGTGCCATGTTTTGGTCTGGCCGCCTCTAGCTTTCTTCAAACCTATTTCTACACCATAAAACATCGCACGTCGGTGGTTGGGCATACGTAACACGTCCCAGTCATCTCAACTGATGAAGTTTCACTACGTCAATTGATATGCCATTCTCACCTAGTACTCGTTTCCCAACAACTGCATTACTTACTCGATGGTCCCAGGATATACGATCAATGTTTCGAAGACATCTGTGATCGAATACTAGTAACTATACTCTTGCCGGCCATGTTTCACAGCCACAAAGTAGGACGGAACGAACTGCTGAGCAGTAAACACGTCCTTTGGTTGGTAGACGGATATTTCGACTACGCCATAAATGACGTAAGTTGGCAAAAGCTAGTTGAGCCTTCTGTATCCGTGCTGAGACTTCGTCACACACGAAACCACAAGGGCTGTTGAGACTTCCAAGATAAGTGAAACGGTCGACACGCTCAACAACTTCACTCCCTATCATTAGTTCAGGTATCGATGCAACCCAATCCTAAAGCAATATTTTGCATTTCGAGGGGGAGAATCGCATCCCGAACATGCCTGCATTGTTGCTTCGAGTGATCAGAAGACTCTGCATTTTCTCAGCGTCTTCACCAAACAGAACTATGTCATCGGCATATTTTAAGTCAACAATTGAATATCCCAGTGAAAGTTAAACCCCCGGAAATTTAGATGAGGAAAGTGTCATCCGTAAAAGCACATCAACGATAAAGCTAAACAAGAATGCAGAGAGTGGACAGCCCTGACGAATACCATTTGAGGTAATCAATTCTGATGACAGTTCGCCATAAGCTCTCACTCGACCAATTATGTTAGAGTATAGAGCCTTTACAAGGTTAATGCACTTCTTTGGTACTCCTTTCAGTGACAAACATTGCCGCAAAACCTCACGATCAACAGAGTCGAATGTTGCCCTAAGGTCGAGAAATATTACGATTGTGGGGCGTCTGAACGTGTGTCTGTGTTCTAGAACCTGGCGTAGTGTGAATATCTGGTCTATACAACCACGTCCAGGTCGAAAACCGGGCTGGTTTGCTCTAGTCTACTTTGGTTAAGCGTCGAAGTATTATTGAAGTTAATATGTTAGATACTATATTAATCAAACTGATTCCTCTGTGATTGTCACAAGAGGATTTTGTCCTTTCTTATAGACTGGCACAATCAGTGATTGAGACCAATCAGATGGGATTGCGCCCAGTCCCGAAATTCTACCTAAGACGTCAGTTAATCTCATTGCAAATACTGGACCACCATCCTTAAAAATCTCAGGAGTAAACCTATCAGGGCCTGCTGCTCTTCTACGCCTCAGATTTCCTATAGGTTTTTCAAATTCGTAAAGAGTCGGAGGACCTAAATTAACTCGCCATTCAGGTCGTCTGAAGATCGTGGGGAACCGAAGTGTGGCTGAAGGTCAGTTGAACTGATCCTGTCGATCCAACCTCCTGGATTGAGAATGTATAATATGTCCATTTTTATTCGAAATAGTTTCCCTAACAGTCGGGTTCCTAATACTGGTTTCATTAACAAGTCTGAACAATTGTCTGCTGTTACCTATTGCCAGTGCCTTTTCCATCTCTCTTGCTTTCGCTACCCACCACTGTTCGCGATCATTGCGTAGGCTTGCGCCTAAGCTTCGTTATGTTCAGAGCCGTATGGAATAA